GGTTAAGGCCAGAGGATTGCTTAAGCCCAGGAGTTTGAGGTTGCAGTGAGCTCTGATCATGCCACTGCAATCCAGCCTGGGTAACAGTGTGAGACCCTGTCTGTAAAATGAATAAATAACAAATAAAAACAAATATTTTATTATTATTATTATTATTTGCAGGTCATCAAGGCAGCTGAGGCTCTGATCCAATACCTTCTCATTCTGAGGCTGAAAGTATAGCCCCTTATCTTGATTTTGTGGCAGAGCGGAAAAAAGAGAAATGGCCAAACCAGACAGTGAATCTCACAGCTTCTGTTGGATGTGATAACATCACTTCTGCTCATGTTCCACTGGCAAAGCAGATCATGTGACCAAGCCCGATGTGGATGTGGGTGGGTGGATATTACTCACGAAGGGGCCCTGCAAGGCAGACAGCAGGGGGTGCGGTGCTCAGTTCTCCTGCAGGCAGGAATGCAGAGTGCAATCAACCACCCTGGCCTTCAAAATACTTTGACTTCTTTGAAGGTCAAAGTTTTGGCCTCTCTTGAGATCCTAGAATCCTGGAATGTCTGGCTAGAAGAGGCTTTGGGGTGAAATCACCATTATGACAAATCAGAAAGCTGAAATCCAGGAAATAGAAAGGAGCTCATCATGGATTTTACCAATTTTATCAAATTTACATAAGAATTACAGGCCGGACATGGGATAGGGGCCTGGAATCCCAGCTACTCTGGAGGCTGAGGCAGGAGAATCACTTGAGCCCTGGAATTTGAGGCTGCAGCGAGCCATGCTTATGCCATGGCACTCCAGTCTGGGTGACAGAGCGAGATCCCAACTCTAAAAAAAGTAAATAAATAAACCAACTACCGAAGTCAACGTTGCTTTGTAAGTTGTACGGAACAGAAAATGAAAGCACCCTCTTCATTGGAGCTACCTGCATCCCTCACTGTCTGGTAGGTAACTAGCACAACTTTCTCCTTTGGCCCCGAGGGTATGAATAATGGCCAGCATATGGCTGCTTTCCTCAAGGACCCTACATAGAGACAGGGGACAAGAGATCAAACCTACAATGACAGCATAACATGATACATTCAGGAAGCCTGGAGGCACAGAACGGGGTGGCCCCAACCAAGACTCGAGATGAGAAAAGGCTTTCTGAAGACGAGACTGTTGGAGGAACAGCCAAGGCTGAGATGTGCAAAGGAAGTGTGGTGTCTCTGGGACGAGGGAGCTGTTCCAAGGCCTTAGGCACCATGCAGAGTTTGGATGGGGAACCACTGAGGGGTCAGGTGTTTCTTTCAGGAGCATTGTTCTGGCATCTTCCTGGAGAGGATGTGTGGGGGGTGTGTGTGTTGGGATGGGGGTGCCGGAGACTGCCCTGGGGGCCAGGTTATAGTTCTCTTTGGGATTCTAACAGTAATGACGGCTTCCTTTGGGCATCCTCCCACTCTCCTGTACACATGCACGCAGGCATATGATGGGATCCTCATAACACCTTGTGTGCAAGAACTGTGGTCCATGTTTTGCAGATGAGGGAGCTGAGACTTAAAGAAAGGAAGTGACATGCCCAAGGGAACACATAGGAAGTAGGCAGTCACACTGACACGCTCCCCCCAATCCTGCTTGACTGCGTAGCCTCTTCTTCCCAGCATACCCACTGCCCTTCCCCTGGTAGGTGGGGGAGACTGCCAGTTACACCCAGAGCCAATTGTCCTTAATTAATAAACAGTCCCTCCCACCTAGCCTTCTGGTCTGCCATTTGTAGGATTTCGTTTCACTAGAAGGAACCCTGGCACACAGTAAATGCTCAGAAAGTATTTGTGGATTGAAGGAAGGATGGAATCTGAGCTGCACAGATGACTGTGCATTTGGCCCCTTCTACCATTCCAGGGTATGGATTTAGGAAGGGGGCTGGTCAGAGTGATGCCTTGATTTTAAAGGGTGCAGCTGTACTTTGTTTATTTTTTAATTAAACTTTTCAGTATTGAGATCATTGTTGATTCACACCATGCGTTCAAATCCCCATTCTGCTGCCTGCGTGCTGGGGCGATCTTGGGTATGTCGCTTAAATTGTGTGGCTTAAATTCTGCTCTCTCCCCTGGGGAGACAGGGATCTGAATGGTGTCTATGGCATCGGGCTATCCCCAGCAGAGTCCTTGTCACCTATGGGCTGCATTTTTACTCACCCCAGGAATAATCTAATAAACATGGTTATCAGCCTCAAGCCTTTCAACCCCATTGCCTCTGACGCAGAGGCCCCGCGGGGAAGCAGCACGGTGCAGAGGCCATGGAGCTCGGATCTGAACGATCGGAGTGGGAAGTGGATTCCGCCCTGTATTCACTGGGTGACCTTGGTCCCTCTGAACTTCCATCAAACAGTGTAAGAGAGCCTTCCTGGAGGGTTGCTGTGAGAATGAAGAGCGGATGTATGTTACGTCCTTCTGGGTTGTAGGAGTGGCACAAATGAGTGATGCCTGCTCACCTCTGTCCTCTCTCTGGAGCCGGCTTTCCCACTGCTCCTTTCTCCTCGAAGCCCTGCCTATGCCCAGACAAAGTTCTCTCTCCCTTGCTGGTTAATTCCATAAGGTGGTAATGACTGACAACGGCTTTTGCATTTTAATAAGGGGTTTCATGCCTTACTCCATAAAGAGGGCTAAGTTGTCATTTTTGGCACCCAAGTCACTAAGGGAGAGGTTTGTTCTTGCGTGGGGGAGGTTGGGAGCCTGGGACACCTCCCTGTGTGGGTGTACCAGCTACCCCACCCATGCCAGGGCCTCTGCTAGTTCACATGTCTCATTTTTTGCCAGTGAGAAACCAAGGCTCAGGTTGCTCCTTCCCATGCTCCTGGGGACCCTTGTTCAGCACACAACCTGTTCAGCTGTCCAAGGCCAACCTAAAGCTGGGTCTAGGCTGCATCTGGCTCTGGGGTCCTCCTCATCTCCCTGTCGCCCCCCACTTCCCCACTCTCTAGCAGTGGATTCCCTAGGCCCTGCAGACTGGCCACGGCTGCTATCAGAACACCTGCTTCTTCCGGGGCCCAGCCAGTCACCCTACTGGAGGTGAGTGGCCTCCAAAACCCATACAACTTGCGGCGGATCTCTTGGTTCCTGTAGCCTCAGGAAGGCTCTGTTACCCTGTTTGATGGAAGTTCACAGAGACCAAAGTTGCCCAGTGAATACAGGGCAGAATCCACTTCCCACTCTGATCGTTCAGATCCAAGCTCCATGATGTCTGCATGATGTCAAGAGATGAGCACTGTGGTCCTTTTCCTGTCGCCTCTGGACTAGGACTTTCCGGAGCTTGTTTGTCTAAAGAAAGAAGGGCAGGCTTTGTCCCTCCCTGGGCTTGCTCTCACCAGGTACTGAGCCCACCTTCCCAGTGGCTGCCATCAAGACTGCGGTGTGAACATCCTCCTCACTGCCCTCCCTCGGAGGGAGGGCTGGGAGCAGCTCACCCACACAGGGGTGGTGGCAGAGTCTCATCCAGCCATGAGTGACACTGGCCACTTCTTGAGGGCCTTCCCATTCTGTCTGCCTGTCTCCTATGGCTGTAAGAGGGAGTCAGGGAAGTTGCTGGGTGGTGAATGCTTTCTCATTTCCGAAGTCCAGTGTAAAAGTCAGTACCATTATTTGTTACACAATCCAGACACGTAGGCATTTCTTCTTTAGAAGAGCTACTGAAATAACAGCCCCAATTATTAATAATATTTCTAGTTACGAATTGTTTACCACGGATGTGAGTGCCAGCATTGGTTTTCCAGAAGGCTCAATGAGCTTGCTGTCAGAAGAGACTGCAACACTCTTGACTTTAAGTTCTTAAAAACTGAAGATTGCGGCCGGGCAATTTCATCACTTTGTAATTTCAGCACTTTGGGAGGCTGAGGCAGGTGGATCAAGAGGTCAGGAGATCGAGACCATCCTGGCCAACATGGTGAAACCCCGTCTCTACTAAAAATGCAAAAATTAGCCAGGTGTGGTGGAGCAAGCCTGTAATCTCAGCTACGCGGGAGGCTGAGGCAGGAGAATTGCTTGAACCCAGGAGGTGGAGGTCCCAGTAAGCCAAGATCATGCCACTGCACTCCAGCCTGGTGACAGAGCAAGACTCTGTCTCAAAACAAACAAACAAACAAACCCTGAAGATTGTGTCCTCTTGGACATATGTAGCCTGATGTGGCCCCAGGGTTGGTCTACCAGGCCTCAGAGGACTCCCTTTCACCTTCCGCCTAAATCATTCATGTAGGATTGATACCAATTCTCAAGAAAAAAACAGACCCATATTTTCATCAAGAATAATGATTTTGTAGGGCAGTTTCCCTTTGCAGACAGTATTACGAATCATATTTTCCAGTAATGACTGTCTTTGAAGGCACTGAAGGAGGAGTCAGCCAGGCACATGTTTACCATCTCCCGCTGGCCTGGCCTCTCGCGGAGACCTGAATTAGATTTGAGTGATGTTTGCTGTGTGCCAGGCCTCTGCTAGGCTCCGTGGAAGATATGGAAATAGATCATGACAGTTTCTGCCTTTGGGGACTTCGCTGTCTAGTAAGGGACACAGAATGTATCCGGAAATGGTTATAACAGAATTAAAAAGCACTTTGGGAGCAGGGGCTGGGGTAATGGGGGAGGCATGGATGGTTGATTATTTTTAATTAGAAGGTTTGGAAAATTATTCCTAGGAGAAGAGGCACTGGAGATGGGCCTTGGAGGGTGTGAGGGTTTTAGGAAATGGACAGGGAGAGGTGAGTATGAAGGAAATTTCAAGAGAAGTAGGGTACTAGCAAAATGTAGACTGGGAAAGGTCAAGGCACATTTGATGAATGGTAGGCCTTCAGGGCTGGTTGGCTGGTTGTGCCTTTGGGAAACTATGGGGTCAGGGGGCATGAAACAAAACATGGACCGTGTCCAGGCTAGGAGGGTCATGTGGGCGTGGAATTAATCCACCCACTTGCACCTTCCTTGTGTTCTAGGTAATGTTCCATGCGTTGAGGATTCCAAAGAGAAATAATCCACAATCCACGCTGTGCACGTGCATGTTTTTCTTTAACTTGCAGACAAAGACTTACAGACAGGTTCCAGAAATAAATCCTCTTTTGCAACCCAGAGCTCATTGTTCAGCATGAGTTTTGATACAAATAAGAGGAGATATTATGATACAAAACAAAAGAAGAAAGAAAGAAAGAAGGAAGGAAGGAAAGAGAGAGAGAAAGAAGGAAGGAAGGAAGGAAGGAAGGAAAAGAAGAAAGAAAGAGAGACAGAGAAAGAAAAAGAAAGAAAGAAAGAAAGAAAGAAAGAAAGAAAGAAAGAAAGAAAGAAAAAGAAAGAAAGAGAGAGAGAGAGAAAGAAAGAAAGAAAGAAAAAAGAAAGAGAGAGAGAAAGAAAGAAAGAAAGAAAGAAAGAAAGAAAGAAAGAAAGAAAGAAAGAAAGAAAGAAAGAAAGAAAGAAAGGCAGGAAGAAAGAGAATTCGCAGCCAGGCACCGTGGCTCATGCCTGTAATCCCAGCACTTTGGGAAGATGAGGCAGGCGGATCTCTTGAGGTCAGGAGTTCAAGGCCAACTTGGCCAACATGGTGAAATCCCATCTCTACTAAAAATACAAAAGTTAGCCGGGCATGGTGATGGGTGCTTGTAATCCCAGCTATTGGGAGGCTGAGGCAGGAGAATCTCTTGAACCCAGGAGGCAGAGGTTGCAGTGAGCTGAAATTGCACCACTGCACACCAACCTGGGCAACAGAGCCAGACACCATCTAAAAAAAAAATCACGATCCTGTTCTCAGAGAGCCTACAGTTTATTGTGACACATACAACACTAAAGAATTGTAAGGATGTAGCAGGATAAATCCTATCTGTGATAGATTTAAGGTCAGAGGAGGTTGTAAGACATAAGATCAGCTACTCCGACATGGGAAAGAGAGTTTGGGGAAAGCTGTACAGAAAAAAAGGCCACCTTTGACTTGTGTCTTAAAGGATGATAGCAGTTCAGTTGAGTTTTCCTTGAATTTAACCCAGAAGTTAGTCCAGTAGTTCTCAACTGAGGGTGATTTTGCCTCCCTGGGAACATTGGCAATGTGAGGAGACATTTTCGCTTGTCATGACTTGGTGGTGAGGGTGGGCTACTGGTCTCTCGTGGTTGGAGGTCAGGGCTGATGCTATACGTCCTAAAATGCGCACAGGACAGCCTCCACAGCAAAGAAAGCTCCAGCCCCAAAGTCAAAAAACCCTGTATTGAAGAACATGTCAAACTCTACCACGTTGGGAACTGAGAGATGGCTGAGTAGCCAACAGCTTCCTGTGGCTTTGGGCAGGTCCTAGCTGTTTCTGGTGGGCCTCAGGCTATGGACTGAATGTGTCCCTCCAAAACTCATGTCAAAACTCCAAACCTCAGTGTAAGGGTGTTTGGAGGTGGGGCCTTTGGAAGAAATTAGGGTTAGGTTAGGTCATGAGGGTGGAGATCCCATGATAGGACTAATGGCCTTATAAAAAAAAAGAAGTGAGGACAGGTGCAGTGGCTCATACCTGTAATTCTAGTACTTTGGGAGGCCAAGGCAGACAGATCACAAGGTCAGGAGTTCAAGACCAGCCTGGCCAATATGGTGAAACCCCATCTCTACTAAAAATACAAAAATGAGCTGGGTGTGGTGACAAGTACCAGTTATCCCAGCTACTTAGGAGGCTGAGGCAGGAGAATTGCTTGAACCCAGGAGGCAGAGATTGCAGAGAGCCGAGATCGCGCCACTGCACTCCAGCCTGGTGCCTGGCGACAGAGCAACACTCTGTCTCAAAAAAAAAGAAAAAAAAAGAGATGCCAGATATCTCCCTCCCTCCTTCCCTGCCTCTGCCCCCGCCACTGCCTGCCCAGCCTTCAGAACCGTGGGGGCTAAATGTCTGTGGTTTCAGCCCTCCAGTCTATGGCATTCTGTGATTTTGTGATAGCAGACAGAACATCTTGATTTCTCATCTGGTCATGAGTCTGTGAGGCCAGATGTTCTTTTACACTTGTATCACCTCTCTAGGACATCACGAAAGGGTTGCTCAACAAATGTTCAGCTCACCGTCTTCTGGGAGGGCATGGTTTTCATCTCTCTGCAGAGCTCGGGCTCACACCTTTACAGAGCTTCTAGCGGCAGCTTTATAAAGCACGTTGGATGAGGTGTTTTGTTGTTTGTTGAGTATAGTGGATTATTTATATTGCTGGATTCCTGTGTGACCCTGGGAAAAATATGCAGTATTAGGATCTCTCACTCTCACCCCTCCCAGCCACATTTTCTGCACACTGTCACTCAGCCCTGGTCACACACAGAAGCCACTTTCATGGCTGGAGGGACCCTTCCCCTTGACTCAGCCTCTGACAGCTTCTCAATGCCCATCAGCTATGGCCTCATCCCCCCGGCCTGGCTTGCCTGGCCCTCCGTAGTATAACTCCAGGGACCACTCTGCATCATCCCATGCCTCCTTCCCTCAGGCTGTGCCAGAGACTTGCTTCAGCCACAGCAAACCCACCATTGTTCCCCAAGTGAACACCCCTAGAGGGAAGAGACTGTGCTTAATTGCTCTAAAAGCCCAGTTCAGCAAAGACCCAGTGAATAAAATGACAGACGAATGAATGCATACTTTAAAGAAGCTCTTAGAATTCATGAGAGGCCACATGTCGAGGAGGCTGGTGATAGGAAGGCAGTGGCATCCATGGACAGAAACAGGGAAAACATTTCCTCGATGAGGCGAAGAGGCCGTCTCTGTTGGCAAATTTGAGACGTTCCCTCTCTGCAGAGACGGAACCTGACCTCCGGGGCTGACAGTTCGCTGCTCCGTGGTTACTGCTCTTATTCCACTTGCTTTCTAGTGTGGTTGGGAGATCACTACATTCGTTTCAAGCTCCACACCCACACAGCTTCACTGAGCAGCAGGAGGGGGTGTATCAGTGAGCTGCTGTCATGACAGCACTGTGTAACAAACCACCCCAAATTCAGTGACTTGCTGCAAATGCAACAGGCCATTTCTTTTTCTTTCTCTGCAGTCTACCTATCGGCCAGCCAGGACTGTTCCGCTTCAGGTGAGGTGGGGCCAAACTTGTCTCTGAGGCTTCAGGTCAGGTTCAGGTTTTTTCTGCAGTCATCCTAATTTTCTTGTACTCACCAGAAACCTGGCATGTTTATTGCATGGCAGATTCAGGGAGCAAATGGTAAAGCCAAGCCTGTGAGAACATTGAAAGTCTCTGTTCCATGTCTGCTCACATCTATTGGCCAAGCAAGGCGTCTGCCCATGTCTGGGTAGACGCTTTGCTTGGTCAGTAGCACATGATGGTGGGCTGGCATGTTTACCATGCCCTGAGGGGAGGAGAGGGGAATAGGAGCACCAATACTCTCTGAACCATCATCTCATCTGTCACCGGGGTAGGATGTGTTCCTGAAACGCTCAGCCAGAGTTCCCCAGGGAATCTATGTTACATTGACTAGAACCGAGTCTCATGCCCAACCCTAAACCAATCACTGGCAAAGGAGAACGGACTCATTATGAGGGATTAGACCAATTGTCGCTTGGCCCTGGGCCAGGACCCTCTTCCCGTGAACACTGAATGGAGTCAGGCCCCTGTCAGCAAGGCACTGGCAGGGAAGGACTGTCAGGTAAGGAACCAATGTCCGCCCCAGCTGCCAGCTCTGATCAGGGTGAGTCACTTTTCCTCTTTGGGCCCAGAGTAGCAAGGAAAAGCCTCCTTGGGCCTTGCGGTGTGTTGGAAATGTGCCTACACACGTCTTCCCAGGTGCCACTCGCTGAAATACCTTCATCTGCTGCGTCCCCACCAGGCAGACCAGCCAGTGCACTCTGGCCTCAGATGCTGACCCACCAGGCAGCTCCTACTGAGGGTGTGTCTGTCCCTGCAGGATCCCTGGAGTGCAGGCTGCCCTCACAGGCACTGGCTGGCAGCCTCCGCGGCACAGTTGTTAATCGGAGCCGCTGCACTTGCCTCTGCTTCCCCGGGGACTTCCCTTCTAACAACGAGGTCTGACAGCATCTCCAAGTTGATCGGAAACTGGACGACCAAGCAGCCTTGGATGACTCTTCCCTCAGTCTGCCTCTCTGGGCTTCAGGCTGTTCATTAGAAACATTCTGGGGGATGACAGGGATTCTCACACAATTTACCTTGCAGGAAAATGGATTTTCTGATGACAGTGGCTGTCTAGGGGAGGGGGGCAATAAGCATTAAGCCCTTCTGAGCAGCAAGGTTTTCTCTGGGCATCCCTCTCCATATCTGGCCCTGAAGCTCTGGGGTTCTCCCATGAAGCCCTGGGCAGCGCACCCAAGGCAGGCAGGAGCCCTGGCTCTAACCAGAGCAAGGCCTTGACATTGCTGCGTGATGAGGCTTCGTAGGGCCTGAAGCTTTTGCATTTGGGGAGGTTTTTTCTTAAAAAAGAAAAAAAAGGGAGAACATAATTTGTAAATGCCCACCTAGGTGACAGCTGTGATGATGGTTAATTGCATGTGTCTACTTTGTGGGCCACCAAGCCCAGATATTTGGTCAACCATTGTTCTGGTTCTTCCTTGAAGGCGTTTTGTGGATGAGATTAACATTTAAATTGCTGAACTCTGAGTGTTGCAGATTGTCTTCCATAATGTGGGTGGACCTCGTCCAATCAGCTGAAGGCCTGGCCGCTCCTGAGGAGGAAGCACCTCTGCAGCAGGCAGCCTTCGGATTCGAGCTGCAGCTCCTCTGCGGGCCTCCAGCCTGCTGCCACACCCCGCGGAGTGTGTGCTTCCAAGCCTTCCCAGTCCTGTGAGCTAGTTCCTTAAAATCTCTTTCTCTCTTTCTCTCTCCATCCATCTCTGTCTCTCTTCTCCCTGTCTCTCTTTTGCTGTCTCTCTGCCTCCTTCTCCTTCCCTCTGTGTCTCTGTCTCCCTCTCTCTATCTTTACCTCTCTCCCTCTCTGTCTCTCTGTCTGGTCATCTCTGTGCTCTGCGTGTGTGTCTCTCTCTCTCCTTCTCTGTCCCTCTCCCCATCTCTCTCTCTTTTTCTCTCTGTCTCTCTCTGTCTCTCTTTCTCACTCTCTTTTTCTCTCTTTCTCTGTCTCTCTTTCTCTCTGTCTGTTTTCTGTCTCTCTGTCTCTCTTTTTCTGTCTCTCTGTTTTTTTCTCTCTCTCTCTTTTTCTCTGTCTCTC